CATTCGATGCTTCTTTCTCATCTTTTGTCATTATTGGTCGATACGCTCTCTTTCTCTCGCTCATTCACTTTCGAAACAATGTGATACGGAGCAAGAAGTGGTTCAACGATTTTAGCAAATATATCACAGTTGGAATCTTTTTTGATTTATTTTCCGTTTTGGCTTTTGAAATGACGCATCTCCTTCTGTTTTTATGCAAAACTTTCTTTACGATTCGAACTGGTTTTTTTTCTCTCTCTGGCTGTCTCTGTTCCCCCTCCCGCCCCATTCAACTGGCCCACAATGTATTGTCACTGTGTTTATGAATGCGACTGCAAGTTTCAAGAGCATGTTGCTCACGATAACGATGCTAAAGGGTTTCGATGGCAGCACGAACTGTAAAAATTGGTCGGTAAAATCAATTTGGATCTTGTTGTTTCTTTTTTTTTCCCTTCTCAATATCATTCGTCTTGCGAACATTGAGCATCGATTTGTTTGTGCTGTTCTAGGTATTTCAATTGAATTGTTCGATTGATGTTAGCTATAAAAGGGCCTGATTTGATTTGTCTGCCGGTGTGTGTGCGCGCGCTTATGTGTGTAGGTGGAAATGAGGTTTTTCTTTGTCGAAACGAAATTTTTCGGAGGTTTCACAACTTGTACACAATGTAATTAAATAGTTAAGCTTCTGTCATTTGAAAGTTTGTGATGCTACTGATGAGGATAACAAATCCATCGGCTGTACTTAAATCGATTCTACTGATTGGCATTTTGTTAAATAGAAATGTAACTGAATCATGAGAGGAATAGCGAACAATTAAAAGAACTAGAAAATAAATCGGTGCACAAAACTATGGCTTTTCATGAAAATGAGAACGTAAGAAGAAAGGCACGTGCTCATTATTACCCAATCGACAATACATAGCAGTCGTATGGTAGTTCATCAAGCGTATTTTTCCTTTTCGATTCATTTTTCGATTTCCGTGCTGAATTAAAACGACAACCAATGTAACGAGTCACGAGTAGAATTGAACTCCAAATGAACTGGCCATGCCAATAAAATGCGAAAATGCTGAACGAGAACGGAATTGCATGTAATGACATTTGCTAAGTGTGCTTGTGTGTATAGTTAATTAAAAATGTACGATGTTTCGCATCTCCCTGCCACACCACAACAAGCCGCTCGCAAACATACTCTCACACAATCGGTTGGACTCTCATTGATGCAAACATCATTAGTAAACGAAGTGCAATATATGTATCAATTTTATCGGTCAGTGTGAACATGGAGACACAAAATTCAACTTGAATGTCACATCAACTTCCATTTCCGTAAAATCAACACCATATATAACGGTTGTAAATTATGTGTATTGGTTAGATTTCATTAAAGTTCGTTCAATGTGAGTTTCGGTGGTATTCTCTACCGCTCACACACACACATACACACATGGCAAGCAATTAAAGATATTGAGGTGAATTCAATAGAGGGAGAAAAACAGGATGAAGAAAATACATGCATAAATTCGATGAAAGATATCCTTTGATGTATCATCGCTTTCAGTTGAATTAAAAAGTGTCAATATTGCGTCATTTGGACGCTGTGAGCGTCAAACTGAACCGAAATAAAATTCCCGCAAGGTCTGACTGTCGCAACGTCTTTTTCACTTCAATCTTGTTTTCACTTCTTTGACCCCGAAAAAGTACCATCGCTTTGCATTTATTTTGTGGTTCATTCATTCGTTGCTCCAATCTTTTGCGGCTGTCGCATATTCGCGTTCCCATTTCTCGTTTCAATCTTAACGAAATAAACGCACACATACACAAAACCCAAATGATTTCTTCAAGATAACAAACGCAATCGTGTTGTGTATCATGTTCCAAAATCAATAGATTCATTGCCGCAGTGAAAGTGCAGCCATCTTTTCATAAAATCAGCACAAATATAATCATGTTTGAGGCTTTCACTTTCCGTTTGTGAAGTACAATGTATGTGTGTGTGTGTCAGCGCACACGAGAAACGTGATCTTTTTGCATTGTGCTTTTGTTGGCACGGCTTTGTCATAATCTTTTTTCTTTCTCCTGTGAGAAAAATGATGTATCAGCATAAACAAATAATAACAATAGGATTGAATTGGGAAAAAAAGATAGTGCCTCAACATGGAAAAATATGTCACGGTTACTACCCCCTTTTACTGCGGTTTGATTTTTATCGGATGATCAAACACATGCACAACTTACGAAACGCTAATGGAATACAACACGAATGAAACGTTGCCTAGTTTGAAAACAATGGGGATGCTCTTATTTTGCCAAACACACATGTATTTCACACTTTCATTCTCACATAAAGTTTCTTTGCGATCAATAATAGCAATGATTATGCATGGTTTGAGGTTCTTAAGTCAAGTGTTTTAACTGGTGCCATTCCTCAAAAAAATCATTATATTTCCCTTCCGTGCTTCTATAAAAAAACCGTTTAAATCGTTTTCGTTATCGTTCTCGCTAAGAACTTACATTTTAATAAATACATATGTAAGTATGTTTTGTCGTAATTCATCCATTTTCATTATTGCTATTACTATTGTTTTAACTATACTTCAGCTTTTACGGAATCTAAAAAAATTCATTCGCACGTGAATATTTTGCGTGCAATTTGAACATTTTACTTAGATTTCATCGCGTTCATTTTGTTCTATTTGGTGAAGCAAGCCATATATGTGCCGTGTGTAGGGCTATCGCTTGAGTTCGTTTTTTTTTTTGCTTTATTCATTTTGTTTGTATTTACGCAGGAAAAAACTACCTAAATAGTGAGAATTGATGTGATTCATAAATCAGTCATTTCAATCAATACATTTAATGAACTGAAAATGCTTCAGACGTACAGCCTAATTATAAAATTACAACTGATTCACTCGGATGAAACGAAAAAGCCAGCAGTAACAAAACCATAGCGTCAATTGAATGAATCGTGTTTGTATACGAGAAATTGTGCGAGAGCGCAATAAATCCTTCGAATTTACAAGAATGGATTCCATTTTCGAGCAAGGAGAAGTGGAATAAAAATGGGTCAGAAAATTAATGATGATGACAATGCGCGACCGTCTATCACAAATGCCGTCACCGAGCTTTTATACAGAGCCTTGCATTAACGACATCAACAATGAAGACGACAAAAGCACACATTTAATATTTATAGACATTGTGGTAAAAACAATTACCAAGTGGATCGTCGTTTGTCAAATTAGTTGCAAAAATGAATTTACATAATATTCTCGTCGACAAATCAACATTCATCGTTCATGTGAAATGCCAATTCATAAGCCTTAGAATATTATGTCAAAATCTTATTTACAAACCAAATTACAGTTTCGTTTAATCAAATCAAGAGGCGGGGAAAGGAAAAAAACCAACATTTTTCATGCAGTGGCGGTCTGACTTCTGTTCAAAAGCCAAATAGAATATACATCACAATTACAATGACCTTTATATCAAAAATCCATAAATAGCACAATTTCATATTGCAGAGAGAGAGAGAGAGAGAGAGAGAGAGAGAGAGAGAGAGAGAGATTAGATATATTGTTGCTTTGGCATAATGGTTCGATCATATAATATATGTATAAAAATGCGCTGAATGAGTGAAAGTGCGATGTATGGTGGTTTATGCATGAACGTTGATATTTATGTGCGATAGCCTTAAATTGGTAACGGTGTTGGCACTGCCATGAGAATTGTTAATAGAATTCATGGTGCTTTGTACAAAAGTGTGATGGGGCATAAGTGTCGAGGCGTGAAAAAGCTGGCTGGTGGTGTGATTATGTGAAAAATGGATTGATATTAGTTTGAACGATAGTTTCGAAGTTTTTGTTGTTGTTATGCACGTCTGGTGATTGTTAACGATTTGGCAGATTTTTTTCATTCATTTTGTAGGTCGTTAGTTATTCTTATCTTCACTTGTATCATGATTTTAATAGTTTCAATGTCCGGAATATTCAATTCGTCTGTTCCATGTATTTGAAATTCAATTTTGGCTTCGAAACATTTCATAATGTTGGCACAGACGTTGCTTCGACGAAGAAAAATTATGTCTAATAACTATTTTTGACATCGCAAACACGAGCAACTTTCGTAAATTCGTTGGTTAATCACCAACTGTGTTGAATTAAGCGATTTCGGTTAAATCTTTTATGGAAACAAACAGACCGTCGTTGGTGAAAAATCTATTTGATATGGGGTCAGTTTCTGTTTTTATTGCATAATTGAATTATATTGAACAATATTCCCGGAAAAGTCGAAACAAACCGAAAAGTAGCGGACACGAAAGAAAGAAAAATATGCGATAAAAATCATGCTGAAAATTATGTCGATTTGTAAGCCAAAGCAAATTGTACATTGTCGTGTTATAATTACGTCATTTTGACTTTACGAATTGCATTTTATAATCACAACAAAACGTGTGGATATGAAACAATTTTACTTCCTGTTTCGATCTAATTACACACGTTCACAGCATTGTATAAAAATGGGAATAAAATGTATTATTAGAGATTAAATTAGCTGAAGTGTCATTAACATAGTTAAGCATTGATAATAAACAATGTTTTTTTTTGTTTTGGTTCAACAACAAAATGAAGTTGTGTATCCAGAGGCGAGAACGGTTATTGGCGACCGTTTATGTGAACTTTTTTTATGGCTCCAACAAATACAATTGACTTGTTGACATTGTACACGATTTGCGTTAGCATTACAACGATGATTTTGTTTTTGACAAGCACATAATGGAAAAATAAATCCGAGCAAAAGTTTGAAATTGTTGAAGCAGTGTTGTTGTTTTTTTTTAATTTGTAGCCATTTTGTAGAAAATGTGTATAAAATTAATAGTTGTGTGTTTTTATATTAGTTTAGTGTTGAATTATTTCCATTTTCACTTTTCTAATTAACATGATTAAATTTTCTCTTTCATTTTCATGGACGTCATGTCATCTTCCGGTGGTGAATGGTTGCAAACTACCCATTATGTACAGAACTACTACTCGCAAATCGAAACCACATTATCCAGATAGCTCGCCATCCTTTTATAGACGTGATTACCAAGGGGGCTTACAAAGGGCCCCCGTTTCAGCGCATAGTATGGAGTTTTTACGCGGCATTTATGCTTTTATGCAAGTCAGTCGTTCATCGGTAAGTAAATTTGACCAAAGAGTGTCCGGCACATTTCGTTTATCGTTTTCTTTATCTTTCTCTTTCTCTAAAGTTTTCCAAAGAAGGCAGTGCAATCTTTTTTCTTCCGAAATCTCATTAAATTCTTTTTCGTTCCCTGTCTCTCTATGTACAAAACAACCGCGAAAACGATCAAACTTTGGCAAAATGTGGAAAAAAGCTTTGCACTGCAATCCATGTCTCTATTATAGAACCATGTGTACTTTTTTTCTCCATTTCGTTTCGTATCAGTTTCGTTTTTTTTTCTCTCTTGTTGTGTTTAATTTTATGTTGTGTTTTTGGTTCTGCTTCGAAAAATTTAAATTAAAGTTGTTTCTTTTCATTTTTATCCTCTCTGTATCGCGTATGCTCTCCCCCTCTATCTTCTCATCGTTCGTTGTCGAATTCATGCCTTGTTTCTTTTTGGTTGCTTGGTGAAACAAAACGCAAATACCCATTAAAAGCCGCTCTCGCTCACACAAAAAACTACTTTCAAACAAACATACTGTAATAAATATTCCGTTTTAAGTGCGGTTAGAATAAATCGCAAAATCGATTTGCATTAATTGAATGTGCGAAGGACTGTTGAGAAAATGACGGTAATTTGAATAAAATCAAACAAACAAAAAAACAACACACACAAACAAACAAAAACAAACAACAAACTATATCTGTTAGTCGTTGCTTCGACCTATATATTAATTCGGCATATTGCATCGCCATTCAAAAGTAAAATAAAAATTAATCTCATTTTCGTTTTTCAACTATACACATACACACACACACACATACACACCATATAAATATTATTGGCATTTTATTAAACCAGCCAAAAATCAATCAATTAATTCGGTTCAATTTTATATATTTGATTTAGTTTTCGTTTGAGGTTTTGTTCATTTCCATTGCAAAATTCGGAATTCAACCATTGAATATAAAATTGAATCTGTTCTTTGCATTCTCTCATTCAATTCACATATTATGGCATATGTAATATTATAGCATATTATGTATTGAGTTCACAGATACGGAACAAAACTATGCAGAAAAGTCCATAAAATTAATGGTCTTGCCCATTTGGTTTTACTCTTTTGATTTGAATTTTATCGCTAATCGCCGAACATCTATAGACTTATATATATATATATATATCTCGTATCTCTTGCACCAAAAACACCAGACCGCACGCATAAAAACTAATCAAATAATAGGCAATCAAATCGTAAAACTCAATTCGCAGATTTTCAATATGAAAAAATCGGTTTCATTGTGTGCAACTAATAATGTATATCTATCGAATACTTAGTGCAAAAACTTTAGCCAATGATGATTGTGAGCATGTTTTATGCTGCACCAAACATTCTACGCACTATTCTCTCTTCAAACATGTTTTTTTCTTTCTTTTTTTTATCCTTACATTGTCTTTCAATCGATGCTTTTACGACTGTTCATTTACAATTTTTTTTTATTAATCATTTTTATTGGTCCATGGCATACACAAATGTTTTTTTTCTCTCTCTCTCTTCTTTTCCATTGTATTAACAATGAGCAGGCACATCATGTGAAAACCGATTCAGCTGTATTCCGTTTACATACAAATGCAACCGTTATTTTACTTGTAACATTTTCAATTGCTGTCACTACCCGGCAATACGTTGGAAATCCAATAGACTGCGTACATACGAGGTGAGTACAATGTATTTCATCGAATATTCTTTTTTTCTTCATCCACATTCGATTCGTATAACAATGCAGTCAATGAAGGAAAATTAGATGAAAAACTCTTTCCAGTGGAAAGTGATGGGTTTATGTCTATGGTGAAAAGGAAGCTTTCCCATAATGTGTCTCGGCTCGAATCGAAGCTCTTTGAGAAAAACACTCAATTCCATTTGAGCAATTTTTCTTGCTTTGAGTCATTTTCATCCGATCGACGAGTGGTTTTTCATCCAGAGATTTTTCTATGAGCGTTTTTTGTATAGTTTTTTTCACTCATTTGTTCGTTTTTTTCTTTCTTTTGATATTGCAGAGATATACCCGAAGACGTACTAAATACATATTGTTGGATACATTCAACGTACACAGTTGTCGATGCATTTATGAAGAAACAGGGATTGGAAGTGCCTTTTCCAGGTATAGATAATTCACAAGGTGGTCGAGGACCGCTCACGATAAAACACAACAAATATTATCAATGGGTAGCGTTTACACTATTTTTCCAAGTGAGTATAACACTTTTAAATTCATTTACTTTGGCTGAAACAGACGATTTAGCAAAAAAAAAATTGTATTTCCAAAGTCAACTGGATCGGGTCATGAATTCAAATTAATTTTTTTTTTGTTAACTGATCACCTTAAAGCAAAGCTGTCTTGCTTACGTCAAAAAAAATGTTCCGTCCAAGAAGTCTTCACATAAATTTATAGCCTCTAATGAAACTCATAAATTAAATTTCTCAATGAAAAAAAAAATCATCAACATTTAGAGAGAACGAAAAAGCACTGAACTCATTCGTTAAGTAGATTCGGTTTTCTGAAAAAGAAAAGTTGTATTTTGATCGTTATTTACAACATCAACTGATAACAACTAATTATAAACAATTTCTGCTCGGGGAATTTGAATGCGAACGCCACATGAACTTTTTTCGATGTAAAAATCAAAACTCACAATTAATCCATCTTACATTCGCCTGAACAATACCGGGAGAGAAAAAAAAAAATTCAAATGGAGCGTGCACTGTATGAAATGAGCCACAACTGTCAATTGGCAAAAATTGGTGGGCGTAGATAAAATAAAAGCAAATTCTCATCATTTAACTTCAAATCAATTTTCAACGTCAACGCCAACATTAGATTGTCATGCGAATTCAACATATGATGTTGATCGGAGTAAAAGAAGCACACATACACACACACACACACACACATACACACACACACAAAATAACGAAAATTACAGTGCGCTTCGACAAATGTTTACGTTGACATCAAAATGATGAATTTCTTACAAACAATCTCAATAAAACAATTAGTACAATTTTCGGTGGCAGTTAAGCAGCCGAAACGAACGACAGCCACCGAAAATAAACCGAAATGAAAAGAGAGCGACAGGCATGTGTACAAATTTTCATTGAATACACACAACGCAAAAAAATAACAGAGCAATGAATCCCGTTCGTATAGCCATGCATCGTACAACTCAAAACAGACATTTGCGACATTTGCGATGTGATCTCTTCTTTTTTTTTTGAAATTATGATTCACGGGAAACACGCTGACACATTGCACCTAGGAGGATTTTGTGTGTGCTCGAGATTTTTCTCTGTTTTTCCCAAAATCTATAAAAATTTATCTCAGCGATGGATTTTAATGGCATTTCCGATTATATTGTCGGACATTTTTTAAAGAAAAAAAAAGCGAAGAGAGAGAACGAACGTATATATTGAAAATCTGTTTTTGCTTCTATTTAATTATGATTTTTTTACAAGATTTAGCTTAGAATAACAGTAAATATGAGAAGAATTTCGCATGCCAATCATCTGAAATGAAATACCAAGCCACCAACGTGTTACTGAAAATGTTGAAACTACCAACAATTTTATTTTGTCTCTGTGAAAAATAGTTGCAAACTATCACATATTTCAGTTTTCTGAAAATTACAATTTTCCATGACAAAATTATTTGGAAGCCATGGGGGAATTCAAGCAATTTGTATCAAATAAACATGGCTTAGTTTTTCACGGTGGATGGTTGCATTTCACAAGGGTAAACAAGAAATAAGGAGAAAAACATTTACGTGCATTCACTTATGATGCAGCGTAAACATATGAAATCAAAACAATGTTGTAGCAAACTAATTACCGCATATAAGCCAAATGCCTCCAGTAAGTGGGCTTGTGTATCAATTTCTAATTTTATCCACAAAACAGCGGTAAACATGGTTTTTATTTTAGCTATCGTTAGTAAATATTCTTCATGATCTGTGATCTGAAGCCTGCGCTTGTATATATTTGTTGAGCAACATACGACGTAACCTTTTCGTTTCGGTTTTTTCTTCTCTAAATTGGAATACGTGGCGTTCGAAAATCCGTGCATTCCTCAGCGTTGAAAGACATGTACCCTGCCAAAATGTCAACACATTCAACAATTATACAATTAGTGTATTCGATTCATATCTCATTCTCTCTTCTGTCAGTCTTTTTTGAGTGGACGAAAATTGTCACGCATTTGTACACATGAAACGTGATGAACTTGCTTTTCGTCTCCATCAAAAATGAGCCATAATTACGTGGTTTTGTGACTTCAAACACGAACAAATACAAGCATGATTAGTGTTACAGTTTTTACTGTTGCACATAAAGTAACTGGCATTTCGATGGGGCTCGGTTTGTTTTATGATGATGACGAAATGAATTTTTACAACTGTTTTCCGAAAGCGGTTTTTATTTGGGATTGCATCAATTTTCATTATTTCGAGCGGCTCATGTGTTTATTGTAGTTTGAACTGTGATCGCCGATGATCGAAAATGGAATGTTTGTGTATTTCTGATTGAACCTGAATAAATAAATCAAATGGGGCAAATCTCAGAATAACGGTTAAATGCCTGCCATCGCCTTGAATCGATTGCATTTGTATATCGCTCTCTCGCACACATAAGCATAGACTTATTTCGCAAAAGGCAAAATCAACGTCTGACAATTTTTTCCGCACAGTTTTGTCGGCTTCGCTTCAACCAAATTATTTGGTATAGTTTTTGCTTATCGTTTTGAACATTCAAATGTTTCTTTAAATGAAATCGAGATTTGTGTAATGATTTCATGTTCAATCCTGTTTAACAATATTCAACAATGTGTTTATTTAACGTTGAACGATCGCATAAATGAATCGTATTTCAAAATTGTGATCTCTAATGTGGTCAGCCTGTATTTCAATTATTACACGCAGTCGATTTTAGAGGCAATTCAATATATCTGTGGTTCATTTATTTATTTATGATTCGGTTGGATGCTCCAACGGTTAATCAAAGCATACTTTTTTACGTATAAATCGTAATGTATCTCATTTAATTGAATTTACTTTCGTTTGGAATTTTCCGAATCAATCATTTAATGAATGAATCCAATTTCATTGGATTGGACATATACATTCAAACTCGAATAAATCAAATGTTGGGACCTTTTCCATCAAATTCGGTTTAAAAAAAGTTTCAACTTGCACAGCTGAATAGGTAACGGTTAAACGTAGAAAATCTTCCAAAAATAGTCACTTTGCAGCTCCGATTCTATTTATAAATAAAAAATAAACAAGAAATGTCATAAATTGTAAAGATGTCATTAAACTTTGTTTATGTTTACAGTTTGGGGTTGCGGATGAATTTGTGAGCGCCTAGAAAGAGATATACAGAGACATCATATGTGTTGATGAATAGTTTTGTGACATTTCAAAACTCGGTCGCTTTTTAAATGCGACCATTTATCGATGAGTTCACAATCTGTCTCTCTTACTGCCGCAATGTGATGGGCAGTATGGTGTCGCTATGATTATATATCATAATAAATCATAACCAAATTGTCTAATGTTTAACATAATCAGACACTATCATCTTGACTGTCACGTCACTGAGAAAAAAAAAAACACTTTAATTCTCTCCCCGTCAGTGTAATTTGTCATTTTCCCAGCTGTACTCAAATGCGACGAGGAAAATGACACTCATTTACAGCATAAAAAATTCATTTGCCAATCAATTGACGGATATCTCGACAGATCAATCTCAAACAACAACACAACTAAAATTCCGCTAAAAACACATGTGTTTGCATACCATAAGCGTAAAACCAAAATAAAAGTGATAATTTTATGGCAAATTCATTGAATTAGTTATGCGTTAAACGCATATCGCAATCGCAAAACATGTCGTCCATTTACGTTCGGTCACAATGTATACGTGATAGTGATCTCGATTTTGCAATAGATTCTCATACAAATGTGTGTGTGTGGATCTATTTTTCGCGCACAATACAATGGAGAACGAAGTGAAACAACGTGTAAAACAACACAAAGCAACAAACTTGTATGCACGTATTTTGAGAGCATAGTGAGAGAGACAGAGTCATCAACACACGATTGGATACAACGGAATAAAAAGAATCTCTGTTTTGAAAATACTATATATAAACCAACACATGCAGTGTGTGTTGTATGGCAGTGTTGAATAAGCCGATCGCATGCTAAAACATCTTTCTTTGAATTAGACGAAAAAGATATGAGTTAATGCCGGTGATGCGTGTGTGTTGTCGAAAAAGTCGGTTCGATTCATGATGCGTATTCCTACTGTTCAACAGTCGCACCAATATTTTGGTCACAGTTCGAATTTTCACTTCGTGATGTTCATACACTCGGCCGAGATTTTGAGTTGGTGAGTCGCGCGCGATCACAGTCAAACACACAGACATTTTCACTTCTTTCCGAATGCGAATCAAAGGAAATCTCCCGTGCTTGGACAAAGGCATTTTTCATTTTCGATTTGATAAAATGCTACATTTCGACAGTTTGATTGAATATACCATTTTTGATAATTATGTGCTATTTAGTGTCGGAACGAAATTGTATTCGTGTGTGTCTGTGTATGACATGAACTAGACGAAAATAGCAGTAAAGTCGGAGAATGAAATAGAGTAAATTCAAATCAAAACAACGACAAAAAAATTAAGAAAAACCATTAAAATTTCGCTTCAGTTTAATGAAATATTAGTGTGATTTTAAGTGCAGTTTCTTTCGGTATTTGCTTCTTCATCTTCTTTTGCATTGCAAGATTAAAATTCATAAGCAATAAAATCCGGGGATAGTTTTTAGTGGTATTTTCGTCGGAAAAAAGATCAATTTTAACCGTCGACAGTATGAACATTTCGAAAAATAAATGAAACAAATGAATTTTTTCTCGAAAATAAAATACATTTTAAAAGTGCAATTTCGTGATTTTGCTGGCCATTCGAAGAAAAATGGCTTGACTATGCGGCACGACAATTTTAAGTCACAAAAGAAAATGCAAACAAACGTGCGACTAAATTTCGATTCGATTTTAATTTTCGTATATGTTGCAAACAGTAAACCGCCAATGAAATCTGAATGGCAATGTTTTCCTGTGTCAAATGTGTGACTGTGAACAGACAAGTTCCGTTCATGAATTCATGATAAATTGATTTCCATTTGGTTCAAAACCATTTG